CTCCTCCTGACTGGAGGTCAGCGTGTCTGCTGCATCATCAGCAAAGATGGACGCACTTGGAAATGTTTGCGTCTTCATTTGAATCCAAGGCCGAGGTTTGCTTGCTGTGCGTGTGTTTGCATGGATACAGCGCTGATTCTCTGCCCGACCACTTCAGTCTTATTTGAATAATGTTGTCATTATTAGAATTGGGACAAAAGAGCGTTCAAGCTCGACTCCTCCAAACACATCAGTGATGATGACGACACAACCCGACACATTTCACGTGTCAGTTCCAATCATAGAGAACAAACAGTTTTTATTTTGTTCTTTGTTTGTTTGGCTTCAGCGTCTTTTTAATGATGTTACAGTTTTAGTGCGTCTCCTCTAAAAGTGCAAAACGTGCTTTGAGAGTCTCACACAGCACCACTCCCAAAGATGGAGGCTCAGTCACAGACAAATAAAATGCACTGATTTTAAAGTCACCACTAAATTTCACTGAAAGTAAATAAAATGTGGTTTGTGTAGCGCCTCACGATGCGAAGATCACGAAGTGCTTCACAAAGAAATACCAAGAAATGCAAAAAATAAACTTGGTTAAATATCATTATTGGATGTGCTGCAGGTGGTCATGTTGATACAAGACATACCTGTTGCAGTGATCGCACGGTGAACGGTGTTGCCACGGCAGCCGGATGCCAGCTCGTTGCCCGTGGTGACGGAGAAGTCCACCTTTGCCGGGAGTCAGCGTGGGTCTGTTCTGCTCGACGCCGGCGGTGCCGAGGAAGGAGAGAGCGCTCCTCTATTTATTTTCAGTCTTTAGTTTCATTCGATGGAAACCTTTAGATTTCCTTCGTGTTAGGACTCAGAAAACTTGACTATCCACATGACAGAGCACTCGGTCTCATATCTGATGATGTGTAAGATCAAGAGAAGATCAGAAATGAGGGTAAACCTGAAGTCTGCTTTGGATTATTCTCTGTAACAACCAGTTGGCAACATTCTAGTTTTGTGTTTTGAAGGTTTGAGTACTTGCAGCCACCACGAGTACATGAAAAAGGACTCGAGGTCTTTTTAAACCTGTATTTCCATCCTGTGCGAGCGCAGCCGACAAACAGGCATCATGAAAACGATTCAACACAAAAGCGCCCAGTTCTGAGTTAAACTGTTTTCTATGTGAAAACTGTCGTTTCAGCTGCGTGGGAGAACATTACAGCCATGCGCTGAGTCGCCTTAGACAACAATGATGCTAAGCTTAGCAAAACAGTTTGCTAGTGTAGCTGCTGACACTAGTCTCATTTCAGTTTGATGGTACAAACGTATCAGGAGTGACATCATTGATATTTACTAGATACAGAACACAGTGAGCCTACACTGTTCACTGCATCACTCCATGCTTGCACTGAGCACCACCTGCTATCATGTATATATCTACTGAGCACTTTTCATTTTTG